CCAATCCAAACCATTCTGTGATTCTGTGATATGAAACCTTGTTATAAGTTGACAACAGAAAACTTGTGACTATATCCAAGACAAATTTCTGCACACATTTCATGTAGTAGGTTATTGGGATAGAGAACAATCTTTCTTCCCAATCTAGAGGAGAAGCAACTGAAGCTCACAAAATCTTAAGACTTAATCCATCTTGCCTGACCTTAGGTACTTAAAAGTAATTATTGTAATGTAATTATTCCTTCAATAATCAGTGAATGCAAAGAGGCACTTCAGAGTGATTAGTTCAGTTGTAAAATGGGAGAGCTGTTAAGCCAGATGAATTCAGAGTGAATGACTTGCCACAGGTGGTGGGGAAACCAGAGCTTGCAATTAAATCCTGATTACCATACCCCAGAACAGGACCTGGGGTATGGTAATCTTCTCTCAAAAGTAGTAACAGGAGTTTGTGTTGATGTAGTTCCTAAAACTTCTCTTAACATAATGATATTATGGCAATTAATGACAAAACAAGGGGAAATGGGTTTAAGCTGAAAGAGGGCAGGTTTAGATGAGATATTAGGAAGAAGTTCTTCACTGTGAGGGTGGTCAGACACTGGAACAGGTTGCCCAAGGAAGTTGTGGATGCCCCCTCCCTGGAAGTGTTGAAGGCCAGGTTGGATGAGGCTTTAAGCAACCTGGTCTAGTGGAAGGTGTCCCTGCTGATGGCAGGGGGGGTGGGACTGGATGGTCTTTAAGGTCCCTTCCAACCCAAACCATTCTATGATTCTATATGCCTAGATAGCTTGACAGGTACTTGGTTACACCTTCACAGATTTAAACAATTTGTTTTTTGGACAAGAAAAAAAGCTAGATTGAATTTATTAACAGTATTTATGTAACTTCTTTCAGCAATCAGACTTTTGTAAGTAGAGCTCTGTCAGAAAAAAGATGAATTACTGTATCCATGCTTCCTCTAGAACACCTTCTCATGGACAAGAAGGCTTGACTCCTCGTGGAGGACTAACTCCTAAACCTGTGGTTGGTACAACTCCTGGTAGAACTCCACTGCGTGATAAATTGAACATCAACCCGGAGGAGGGAATGGCAGATTACAGTGACCCATCTTATGCAAAACAAATGGTAAGAAGCACTTAAGAAGTAGAAATTAGTGCTCTATTAATTTTAAGGAGTTTTAATTCTCGTTATCTGAACAGAACTTTATTTTATAGCAAGTGTTATTTCTACTGCTCATCTACAGATCTGTACTAATCACTTAGTAAAATCAAATCTTTATTTGAAGGAACAGAAACCTTGTCACTCAGAACAGCTTTCAGTGTGCTCAGTAAAAGCACTCTGAAGCTATTTGTCAAAGAAGACATAGTTAAGTTTCAGTTCTACTTGGATCTTTGAAGCTGAGCAGGAAATATATCTCAAGGAAAGATTCATTTTTCTTGCAGTCCTCCCTCAAATCCCTCATCATCTTGGCTTCCCCATTTACCTGCAGGACCTTTTCATCAGTCTGACCTGTTGACAACATTGAGCTAAAGGAGTTTAATTTTTGCCATTAGGAGCACTTGCTTTTGAGATGCCCAGTAATCTGAGTCCCATCTCGATTCTTTCATCGCCTTTGGCAACAGATGTTTCCATTCTTAGAGATTCGACCAGATGTACCCTGCCAATTAGAGATGGTATAAAAGGGCATTTACCTAATAGGTAGCACCTTGGGAACTCCTTTTATGTGGCTGTTTCTGCAGCATTAGCTGTGACTTTGGGTATCTCCTGCCAGCACTATTGATGTTTTTCTATTTGGGCAAGCTAAGGATATCCACTTCAAGTTTTTGGCATGTTCTTCTCACAAAAATAACTCTTCAAGTTCAGAATTTCAGATTTCCTCTTAGCTTGAAGGACAAGGTTTACTTGATGTCCTTATACTTATTTTGGTTCTGTCTTAGCCTTTTTGTAGTAAATAGGCTTTTTGCTGCTAGAAGAAAAACTGGGGCTTCAATTTCCTTATGGACTCTGCTGGTTTCCAGACCTAGTGCTGTTTGTCTCATTTTCATACTGTGCCACAATTCCCAGATTTGTGAGCAACTACAAGGAAAAAAGTTCCAGTTAGCAGCTTGCAAACACCCCTGTGTCCCTCATCAGTGTGGACACATTTTCACATATTTTCAATTTCTTGAAAGGTCTCTGCTGTTGTACTGAAAGTAGTGGCCAGCAGGTCGAGGGAAGTGATTCTCCTCCTCTACTCCTCTCTTGTAAGGCCCCACCTGGAGTGCTGCGTCCAGTTCTGGAGCCCCCAACACAAGAGAGACCTGTTAGAACGAGTCCAGAGGAGGCCACCAGGATGATCCGAGGGCTGGAGCCCCTCTCTTATGAGGACAGGCTGAGAGAATTGGGGCTGTTCAGCCTGGAGAAGAGAAGGCTCCGGGGAGACCTAGCAGCCTTTCAGTACCTGAAGGGGCTACAGGAAGGGTGGGGAGGGACTTTTTATAAGGGGCAGGTAGTGATAGAACAAGGGGAAATGGCTTTAAACTGGAAGAGGGGAGATTTAGATGACATATTAGGAAGAAATTCTTTCCTGTGAAGGTGATGAGGCACTGGAACAGGTTGCCCAGAGAAGCTGTGGCTGCTCCTCCCTGGAAGTGTTGAAGGCCAGGCTGGATGAGGCTTTGAGCAACCTGGTCTAGTGGAAGGCGTCCCTGCGGATGGCAGGGGGGTTGGAATTGGATGATCTTTAAGATCCCTTCCAACCCAAACCATTCTATGATTCTGTGAAACTACTGAGAGGGAAAGGTGCTGTGCTGTTATTTTACTTGAGTGTATTTCAGCCCATTTGAAGACGTTACTAGCTATTTTTAAGAAAACCATCTGTTCTTTTTAGGATCAGAGAGTTTCTGTGCTTAATAGTGCATAAACTCTGGGGTGGTGGTCTGTAAGCCAGCCTGGTTTACTAGCATGTCTCATTTGTCAGAGGGTTTTTTCTGTAGGCTTTGTAGCAGACTAAGATGTCCAGATGATATTAGTTGTGTATTGTTTATGTCTGTTAGTGTAGATGAATGGAATCTGGTTGTATCTCACCTTAGTGTATGAATCCAGAAGCTTTGTATCTTACTGTGACTTCAACAGGAGAGAGAGTCCCGCGAACACCTCCGCCTTGGACTCATGGCCCTTCCTGCTCCAAAGAATGACTTTGAGATTGTTTTGCCTGAAAATGCAGAAAAAGAACTTGAGGAACATGAAGTGGATGAAGCCTTTGTAGAAGACACTGCTGATATCGATGCCCGCAAACAGGTCTGTGTGTGTGATGCGGGTAGTGCCTTTTGTTTAAAATAAAATGTTCTTTGTATGGTTCTGATAGTTCCATACCTGTTTAGTGGAGGTAGGACAGCTCCTACAGGATAACAAAGTGAAATTTTTCTGTTTGTAAAAACAATCTTTTTTCCATTTATTGCTTATCTTAATTTTTGTGATACAAATCTGTGTTTGTTTTATACCTTCAAATAAATGTGGTTTTGAGTTCAGAAGGGTTTTGCCAATGGCTGTGCTTTGAAAAGTGAATAAAATATATATAAAATAAAAAAATCCTATGTTCTACTATCTTCTAATATGATAAACATTTCCCAGAATTTGATTCCTAACATGTCCCATTTGGAGAGGAATACATTATATACATATATATATGTATGCCTTGTGCATACACACCCTAATAAAAACCCTGAATAAATTATGTGTGTGGAATAGAGAAAAGAAATTAGACTTGTAATATCATACAAGAGAATAGCGTCCTGCCCTTCAAATGAAGGTGTGACATGGCTGGAAAGTCTTGGTCATCGTTCCTTAAGGTTTTGAGAACACTGCCTTTTTATGTTACTGCTTGAAAGTGAAATGTAAGGAGAAGACTCATGTTTTTACTTGAAAGTGAAATGTAAGGAGAAGTCTCATGTTTTTACACTTTCACGAGTATTTTTTTTAGTGAAGGTAGTTACTTTATGTCATTAAAGAAGACAAATAGAGTCCTGACTGCAAATTTAAGAGTCTTTCTTTTCCTGGTGGATTTCATGTCTGGAGAGTTACAGCAGTTGTCAAACTTGATGTGGAGAAATTCATAAAGAACAAAATCTGCCGGGGTTGAGGCTGAAGGAGAACTTGATGGCTAGAAATTATTTTTTAAGATATCTCTCCTCTTGGGTTAGTGTGCTGTGCTCTTCCCGTTTACTTTAGAGGCAGTAAATTACGATGTCATCACATTATTTGGCTCTTTATGTCTTTATACTTCAAGAAATCTTTGCTACAATAATCAGTTAGTTTTTATATCACATAGGAAGCACCTGATTGTCTGATGGTAGCTGGAGTAACACTAAGTTTGTTTGTCTAGGCTCTCCGAGAAGCAGAACGTGCAAAGGAACTGAAGAGAATGCACAAAGCTGTTCAGAAGAATCTACCACGGCCCTCAGAAGTAAGTGGAAACAAAATTCACTTCTAAGGAAAAAAAAAAAAAAAATAGAAATAAAGGTTTTAACCATTGTAGGAGGAAATACAGTCAAAGTAGATTATGAGAGAATGAGAGTTACGGGAAACTTTCGTGGTGAAATTGTCATGAGGATTTCATATGCACAGATGAAAGCACAGTTGGGTGTTTGGATTGCTGTCTGCATGCCACGCTGCAACGGATCTTGGCACCTGTTCTGTGTGGTTTAGTTGATATATAAAATCCATACTCAGGTGGAGGTGTATGAATTTAATATGATCTTTGGTGTGTAGGAAGTTTATCAACTTTTTTTTTTTCCTTCTTTTTTTCCTGGACAGGTTAATGAAACAATACTGAGACCCTTAAATGTGGAACCACCTCTAACAGACTTGCAGAAAAGTGAAGAGCTGATAAAGAAAGAGATGATTACTATGCTTCATTTTGATCTTTTACACTACCCATTTGGAGAGCAGCTTAGTGGTAAGAAGGGGAAAGGCCCAGGATTTGGAAGCAACAATGCAGAGCATATGGCTTACTTGGAACAAAATCCTTATGAGAAGTTCTCCAAAGAAGATCTCAAGAAGGTGGGAGCTCTATGGCCTAATTACTGGTGACCTAATGTCTCCTTATGTCATGGTCCTGTAATCTTGCAAAAAAGGGTGGATACAAGCCTGCACAGAATCAGATCTCCAGAGGGCTGTATGAAGAGTTGTAAGGATGATTTAAGTGCACATTTTCTTTTGTGTGAGCTGATGTTAATCTAGGCCCTCAGCAGAATGCTGAGGGTGCTGTATTTGTCCAGAGGCATTGTCTTTTGGATACAATTTTGAATGTATTGTGATTGTTTATCATTTTAAGTAAAGGTAGGAGCTCTAATACCCCAACAGCTACCAAATCCTACTTTGCTGTTTCTGGAAATTGATGTTAAATCATTCAGGCTTTAAGTAGATGTGATATCCACATCCATTCTGCTGCCTGTGTAGTTTCTTAATCCAGAATTACTAAGTGGGGTTTTTTTTTCATAGCAGTGCAGACTAAATACGACAGTGGTAGGCAATTTACAACTTGGAGCAGCAAATCAAGTTGTTTAATTATGCTTGTCAAGCGTGATCCAACAGAGCTGTGCCAGTGCAGAGCCTGCTGGGCTATGGCAACTGATCTTAAAGCCTACATGGTTAAAAAGTGCTGAATAGGCAGAATAGGTTGTTGCTGGATGAAATGAGTAGGCTGTCTGGGCACTGTGTCCTGTTTTGCATTGTGATCCCAAGTTAAATAGCAGTCCTGTACCAAGGGTTCTGGTTCGGGTTGTTCATTTATTTAAACAGCTACAGATGTTGCTTTTTGCTGCCAAATGACAGACAGACAGTTCAGACACACAGGGCTGTGGTTAGCTCTTTCAAAGAGTTTCACCTGTGAAGTTGTGCCAGTAACCTTTGACCAAATGCTTACAGGAATAAATATGAGTGACAAGGACAAAAATCACGTGCCACCAAGTCAGTTATTTTATGCAGACTCCTGCTATCTCAGACTTGCATTCTGACAATAGCTGTGGTATCTCTGCACCTAAATCCTGTATTGCTTTAAAGTGACTCTAAAGATACAGAAGCAGATTTTAAATCTGTCTCCTTGACCGTATCTGACCAGTGAATCAAGAGTCTAAAATGAGAAACAGCAAACAGTATGTACTTCCAATTTGCTGTTAAATGAAAAATTATACTTGAAGATTTCTGAGCAGGAGAAGTTAAAGATGGAAAATACAGTTAGATGATGAATTTCACTGCCCTGTCAGTGTCAGATTGTTCCCTTAGGAACACTCTCTGAGTGCTTTCTCTGGTTGTTTTGAAGTGCTACGAGAATTGGGTTTTCTGCCACTTCCCTTAGAGACTATTACACAGTCCAGTAGTTTTTGTGTGGAAACTTTCTTCAGAGTCACTGGAAACTTTGTCTCCTAACTGATGGGCAGCAGTTTTTTGCATCCTTGCTCCTGCTTGCTCTCTAACATTCAACCTAATATTCCCTCTTTGCATAAAATCAAATTCAAACAGGGAAGTTTTCCTGTCTCTGCAATCTCATCTGGGGCTTGTTTATTTTGCTTTATTTCTTCATTTGTTTTAAGAATGAAATCGCTTCATAAAATGCTCCTTTCTTTTCCTGATGTGTGGTACTCTTTTGGGAGGGATTAGCAGTGGTGCTAAGCACGGTGTGCTGAGCTCTTAAAGCTGTGAATCTGTTTTCATGCCACTACTAAATAGCCTTAAGTAATTCCTCAGTGTACAAATAGAGACTAATTGAAACTGAACCTTTATAAGATTTAGCTTTGTTAGGCGTGGTTAGAGTACTCACTATTTTATCTGTCTTGATCATCAAGGACAAGTAATTAATTTTGCTTTCCCCAGTATCCCTGGAATCATGTAATGTGGTGATACCTAAATTATTTCCTGGGCCATATATTGTTATAAAACACACATCTGCTTGTACTGAGATATCTGCTGCTGATACGGAAATTTGTGGTGCACATATAAATCCTGTTGAAAGGGAAGACATGCACTTATAACCAATGAAGTCCAGATCAGCAAAGATACTTTAGTTTTTTATTTACAAATAAAATTTGGAAGGACCTGGATGCTTACATAGTTTTGTGGGCCAGGCTCTTTGTCAGAAATACTGAGTTGTGAGAACAAAGTGAGTCTTTTCAGTTCACTGTAAGTTACTTTGTAAACTAAACTGGAAACAGCAGAATGCTCATATCTCACCAGTAGTTCTTTAGCAACAGAATATGTGTTAGTTCAACTCAGAGTAGTATTTCCTGCAGTGGAGCTTATACAGCTCACCCATTAATATTTAAGAGTTGACTTTTCAGGTTGTGTGGAGAAGGACGAGCAAAAGGAAATGAAAAGTGATTTTTGTTTCACAGAACAGCTGCTTCTGTCTGTACAGTTCTCCCTCCCCTCAAGGTTCTTGCCTTTATCTCTTTTCTTCTGCAGCAAGATGAAGTATCTAGCCGTGCCACAGCTTTCATTAGCTGCAGCAGAGTGATGTCAGGTTTGGCCAAATTATATAAAATGAAGGATAGTTGCACTGTGAGTAGCCTTCTAGCCTGGGTTTCATTTATAATCCACAGCATCTGTGTTAGATTTCATAGTTAGCTTAACCTGATGGTGAGCTTTTAGTATGAAAAGAGAAACTGCCCCTGTGAATTGCACACCGAAGGACTGAAAACAAGAGGAATTTTCTTGTATCCTGTGTATTGTAACTGCAATTTATTTCTCATCATTTCCAACAGGCCCAAGATCTACTGGCACAAGAGATGGAAGTGGTAAAGCAAGGAATGGGGCATGGAGAGCTCTCGAGTGAAGCTTATAACCAGGTGTGGGAAGAATGTTACAGCCAAGTCTTATACCTGCCTGGACAGAACCGCTACACAAGAGCTAACTTGGCCAGCAAAAAAGACAGAATAGAGTCACTTGAAAAGAGGCTTGAGGTCAGTGTTGCTTTTTTTCTGCTTTTTGCACCTGTTTTTTGGGGTTTTTTTTTTAAAAAGTTTCTCCCAGTGTTGTTTCTTTTTTTCTATGTAAGAATTACATGTTACTTGATAAATCATTCGGCTCTTTTGGTGGGATTCCTTTGAAAAAGTTGTTGAGGAATTTTACTAGAGAGTTCATAGTTCTTGAGGTGTTTAAATTGCCTTCTCTCATCCTCCTCCTTTTCTTAAATAATATCCCTAGAGTATTCCCCCACACAGTTTCTCTTTGAACTATTAGCTGTAAGACTGCTCATCTCACCCACTTTGTTCTCAGCTGGTGAGTAGGTCAGGTTCTGCTCTCTCTTAAATCCATGTGGATTTTTTTGCTATTTTCTTAATCTCCACTATTAGCATATCACATACCTGATCTTTCTAGTTTTGCATTTTGTCCCTTGTAGTGACCAGTACAAGATACTTCAGAGAATGATGCTTAAAAGCAATATTTCTGTCCCAAAACTCCTCTCAGATTCTCTTTCCAACTTAAGATTTGGTTTCTGGTTGACTAATGCAGGTGTGAAGGTCCAGATAGTCCTCAATTCTTCCCAGACTAGCCAATTCCAGTGATTCCCAACACAAGAGAGACCTGGAGCAGCTAGAACAAGTCCAGAAGAGGGCCACTAGGATGATCTGAGGGCTGGAGCACCTCTGCTGTGAGGACAGGCTGAGAGAGTTGGGGCTGTTCAACCTGGAGAAGAGAAGGCTCTGGGGAGATCTTATAGCGGCCTCCCAGTACCTGAAGGGGCTACAAGAAAGCTGGGGAAGGACTTTTCATAAGGGCAGTTAATGACAAAACAAGGGGAAATGGGTTTAAACTGAAAGAGGCCTTAACTCAACAAAGCATTAAGATTTAGTAGGTTGTCCTGGGATTGGAGGGAGTTGTGTATAGAGAGGAAATAATCTGAAGTATGGTGCACTAAGTAGAAAGCAATTCAAACCCTTGGGACACTGATTTCCTTTGCCTTGTCCCCTCTCTATAGAGTTTTACCCCAAAACTCCACACAAAACACAAAAATACACAGCTTTCATGATAAAAAGTAAGCTGGTTTTAAATGGTTTCTTCCCACAGAACATGTGTGTGTTCAGACTTGCCATAAGTCATTAACTGTTTGCCAAAATACCATTTTAGACTAAAAGGCTCTCTAAATTTTGCAGGCATTATGTTATTTTTTTTCATTGGTAAAAGGAACCTTTCTTTTTTTTAAAGTTCTTCTGTATTTAACATCAACATAGCTACCGTTGCTGGAAGTAAACCTCCTCAAGCAGCTACTACCACAGAAATAACATGAGAGGCCAGAAAGGCTGAATTTTCACTTGATTCATACACGTGAAATACAGTGTGAAATCTATCAGTCAAGAATGTCATCCAGGTATAGACTCCACAGTTGTTAGTCAACTGCTCAAGCCAGGAACAGTTCACCTGCATGTAGCCCAGTAGCCAACTGGTTTTGCATTAATTGATGATCCGAGGGCTGGAGCACCTCTCCTTTGAGGACACGCTGAGAGAGTTGGGGCTGCTCAGCCTGGAGAAGAGAAGGCTCCGGGGAGATCTTATAGCGGCCTCTCAGTACCTGAAGGGGCTCCAAGAAAGCTGGGGAAGGACTTTTCATAAGGACAACTAATGACAAAACAAGGGGAAATGGGTTTAAGCTGAAAGAGGGGAGGTTTAGATGAGATATTAGGAAGAAGTTTTTCACTGTGAGCATGGTGAGACACTGGAACAGGTTGCCCGAGGAAGTTGTGGCTAATACCCCCCCGGA